GTGGAGCTGGGAATTCCTGTGGGAATGTGGAAGGTGTTAAGGAGAACCTGAGGCTGAGGGGGGCCGCAGAGGGGGGACCCCTCTCCCCCTGAGCCCAGAGGGAAACGCTGGGATCGGAAGCCGGGATTTGATCCCAAGCAGCTCCCGGCCCCCGCAGGCGTCACCTTCTCGGACACGGCGAGCGCCACGGAGCCGTGCAAGCCGTGCACGCAGTGCGAGGGGCTGCAGAGCATGTCGGCGCCCTGCGTGGAGACCGACGACGCCGTGTGCCGCTGCGCCTACGGCTACTTCCAGGACGAGGCCAGCGGGAGCTGCCGCGAGTGCCGCGTGTGCCAGGCGGGCTTCGGCCTCATGTTCCCCTGCAAGGACTCGCAGGACACCGTGTGCGAGGAGTGTCCCGAGGGCACCTTCTCCAGCGAGGCCAACTTCGTGGACCCCTGCCTGCCCTGCACCACGTGCGAGGAGAACGAGGTGCTGGTGCGGGAGTGCACGCCCGTGGCCGACGCCGAGTGCCGGGGTAAGAGCCGAGCCGGGCGTCGCGGTGTCCTTGTCCTTGTCATTGTCATTGTCATTGTCACGGCTCTGCTGCCACCGCAGGGATGTTCCTGGTGCAGCTGCCAGGGGAACATTCCCCGTGGAGCTGCCGGGGGAACATTCCCAGTGGATCTGTCAGGGGAACATTCCCGCTGGAGCTGCTGAGAGAACATTCCTGGTGGAGTTACTGAGGGAACATTCCCAGTGGATCTGTCAGGGGAACATTCCTGGTGGATCTGCTGAGGGAACATTCCCGGTGGATCTTCCAGGGGAACATTCCCGGTGGATCTGCCGGGGGAACATTCCCGGTGGATCTTCCAGGGGAACATTCCTGGTGGATCTGCTGAGGGAACATTCCCGGTGGATCTTCCAGGGGAACATTCCCAGTGGAGCTGCTGGGGGAACATTCCCGGTGGAGTTACTGAGGGAACATTCCCAGTGGAGCTGCCAGGGGAACATTCCCAGTGGAGCTGCCGGGGGAACATTCCCGGTGGATCTTCCAGGGGAACATTCCCGGTGGATCTGTCAGGGGAACATTCCCAGTGGATCTTCCAGGGGAACATTCCCGGTGGATCTGTCAGGGGAACATTCCCGGTGGATCTTCCAGGGGAACATTCCCGGTGGATCTGTCAGGGGAACATTCCCGGTGGATCTTCCAGGGGAACATTCCCAGTGGATCTGTCAGGGGAACATTCCCGGTGGATCTTCCAGGGGAACATTCCTGGTGGATCTGCTGAGGGAACATTCCCGGTGGATCTGCCAGGGGAACATTCTCGGTGGAGTTACTGAGGGAACATTCCCGGTGGATCTGTCAGGGGAACATTCCCGGTGGATCTCGGCCTGGCTTTAGGGAGCCGCGCTGGGATCTGGCAGTGCTGGGCCAGAGAAAGGAGCCGGGGTTTCCTGCCTGTCCCTGTTGGCAGACCAAGCACAGCTCCAGCCCCTGGGAAAGGGGGAAAGGGGGGAAATAGGGGCAGAAAACGGGAAAAGTCAGAGCCGGGCTGAGCTCCTGGAGGAAGCAGGGCTGCTTCAGAGGGGCTTCTACACCCAGGGCTGCTCCAGAGGGGCTGCTCCATCCAGGGCTGCTCCATCCAGGGCTGCTCCAGAGAGGTTGTTCCATCAGGGCTGCTCCAGAGGGGCTTCTACACCCAGGGCTGCTCCAGAGGGGCTGCTCCATCCAGGGCTGCTCCATCCAGGGCTGCTCCAGCCAGGACTACTCCAGAGGGGCTGCTCCATCTGGGACTACTCCACCCAGGGCTGCTCCATCCAGGGCTGCTCCAGAGAGGTTGTTCCATCAGGGCTGCTCCATCCAGGGCTGCTCCAGAGAGGTTGTTCCATCAGGGCTGCTCCATCCAGGGCTGCTCCATCCAGGGCTGCTCTATCCAGGGCTGCTCCATCCAGGGCTGCTCTGCCAGGCTCCTCGGCAGAACCAGCGGCGTTCCTTGGGCAGGAGCGGCGCCAGCCCCTGCCCTGAGCGCAGCGGGGAGAAAAGCGCTTTGTCCTGGGCGCCGCCGGGCCGGGCAGCGGGGCAGCTCCCGAGGAAGGGTCGAGTAAATGGAGCCACAAGTCAAGGACACAGGGCCGGCTTTGTCCGCACCCAGCTCGGGAGCGGCTCCCCAAGGGCAGCGGGGGCCGGGACACGGCAGGGCAGGATGCCACCAACCCCCCGACCCCCCCTGCCACAGCGCTGCCGCCCCGGGGCCCTCGGGGCTGAATTCCAGCCTGGCACAATCCCAGCTCGGCACTATCCCAGCCCAGAACAACCCCACTTTGGTACAATTCGAACCTGGTACAACCCCAGTTTGGTACAATTCAAACCTGGTACAATCCCAGTTTGGTACAGCCCCAGCACAGCACAACCCCAGTTTGGTACAACCCCAGTTTGGTACAATTTGAACCTGGCACAATCCTAGTTTTGTACAGCCCCAGCAAGGCACAATCCCGGTTTGTTTACAACCCCAGCATGGCACATTCCCAGTTTTGTACAATCCCAGCTCAGAACTATCCCAGTCGAGCACAACTCCAGTCTGGTACAATCCCAGCTTGGTACAACCCCAGCCTGGCACAACCCCAGCCCGGCGCTGATCCCAGGGGCTGGCAGAGGGTGGCAGGGCGAGGTCCCGGCTCCTGCCGCGATTCCCGGCTCATTCTCGCTCCGGGATGGGCTGGGGGACGTGGCCCGGCCCTGGCACCGGGCAGCGGCTCAGGGAGGGCACAGGGAATTTGGGATGGGATGGGCACCCAGGCGTTATCCTGGGGCAAGACCAGAGGCATCCGCTGCTCCCGGGACGCGCCCGGGTGCGGCAGGAGCGGGGTCACTCCCGGACGGAGCCGGCAGGGCAGGGAAGGGGCAAATCCAGGCCCTGGGGCTGCGGGGCGGCTCCGTGCGGGGCGTGGGCGCCCGGGCTGCCCCAGCCCCACCCTGGGGTGGATTTGGGGGCTGGCAGTGGAGCTGAGCCCCAAGGGCGCTGTGCTGGACAGCGCTGACAAAGCCACGGCCACCTCCAGCCACCCCGGGCCAGGGGACAGCTGCGGGCCAAGCCTGGGGACAAGCCTGGGGACAAGCCTGGGGACAAGGAGACGTGGGTCCTGTCACCTCTGCCGTCCCTCAGCCTCGGGAAGGGGATCCCTGGGGAAACACCCGGCCTGATCCCGGTTCCCCTTCCCCTCCGCCCCGGCAGGGCTCCACCCTCGCTGGACAACGCCCGCCCCGGCCCCGGCGGCCTCTGAGAGCCCCGAGCCGGTCACCGGGGAGCCGCCGGGCACCGAGGCGGGGGCCAGCACCGCCGCGGACACGGCCACCACCGTCATGGGCAGCTCGCGGCCCGTGGTGACCCACGGCACCAGCGACAACCTCATCCCCGTCTACTGCTCCATCCTGGCCGCCGTGGTGGTGGGGCTGGTGGCCTACATCGCCTTCAAGAGGTACCGGGCCAGGCAGGGACAGGGACGGGGACGGGGACAGGGACAGGGATTTGGGGAGGGGGGAACAGTGGGAGCCCCGCTCCGGATGTCCCACAGCCACAGCTGTCAGCACCGAGGGCACCAGGCTGGGCGGATTTCCAAAATTGTGTGAGGGGTGAGGAGGGAGGTGGCAGCAGGATGGGGGACCCAGTGCACGTCTGTCCCTGTCCTTGTCCCCGTCCCTGTTCCTGTCCCCATCCCTGTCCCTGTCCCTGTCCCTGTCCTGGCACCAGGACAGAAAACAGAAACTGGGAGAGACCCCGGGGAAGGGGACAGACCCCGGGGAAGGGGACAGACCCCGGGGAAGGGGACAGAGCCGTGGCAGCCCCGGGGAAGGGGACAGACCCCGGGGAAGGGGACAGAGCCGTGGCAGCCCCGGGGAAGGGGACAGAGCCCTGGCAGCCCCGGGGAAGGGGACAGACCCCGGGGAAGGGGACAGAGCCCGGGGAAGGGGACAGAGCCCTGGCAGCCCCAGGGAAGGGGACAGAGCCCTGGCAGCCCCGGGGAAGGGGACAGAGCCCTGGCAGCCCCGGCGATGGCACCAGCGTGTCCCCGTCCCCGCAGGTGGAACAGCTGCAAGCAGAACAAGCAGGGCGCCAACAACCGCCCGGTGAACCAGACGCCGTCCCCCGAGGGGGAGAAGCTGCACAGCGACAGCGGCATCTCCGTGGACAGCCAGAGCCTGCACGACCAGCAGCCCCCCGGGCAGGGCACCCAGGGGCCAGGTGGGACCCGCCGGGGTGGGCAGGGGGCGGGCAGGGACAGCCGGGGTGGACAGGGACACCAGGGGTGGGTGGGACAATCAGGGGTGGGCAGGGACAGCCGGGGTGGGTGGGACAGTCTAGGGTGGGCAGGGACACCAGGGATGGACAGGAAGGATGGGCAGGGACACCCGGGAACGGGTGGGACGATCGGGGGTGGGCAGGGACACCTGGGATAGACAGGGACGCCGGGGGTTGGGCAGAGACATCTAAGGATGGGCAGGGGTACCCAGAGATGGAGAGGAACACCAGGGGATGCACAGGGACACCTGGGAACAAGCAGGGAGGATAGACAGGGACCCCGAATGGGCAGGAAGGACAGACAGGGACCCCTGGGACAGACAGGGACCCTGAACGGGCAGGAAGGACAGACAGGGACTCTGAATGGGCAGGAAGGACAGACAGGGACCCCGGGATGGGCAGGAAGGACAGACAGGGACCCCTGGGACAGACAGGGACCCCGGGATGGGCAGGAAGGACAGACAGGGACCCCTGGGACAGACAGGGACCCCGAACGGGCAGGAAGGACACACAGGCACCCCGGGACAGGCAGACAGGGACCCCGGGATGGGCAGGGAGGACAGACATGGACCCCTGGGACAGACAGGGACCCCGGGATGGGCAGGGAGGACAGACATGGACCCCTGGGACAGACAGGGACCCCGGGATGGACAGACAGGGACCCCAGGACGGGCAGGAAGGACACACAGGGACCCCGGGACGGGCAGGAACCCTGGGATGGGCAGGGAGGACAGACAGAGACCCCGAACGGGCAGGAAGGACACACAGGCACCCCGGGACAGGCAGACAGGGACCCTGGGATGGTCAGGGACCCCGGGACGGGCAGGAAGGACAGACATGGACCCCTGGGACAGACAGGGACCCTGGGATGGACAGACAGAGACCCTGGGACGGGCAGGAAGGACAGACATGGACCCCTGGGACAGACAGGGACCCCGGGACAGGCAGGGAGGACAGACATGGACCCCTGGGACAGACAGGGACCCCGGGATGGGCAGGAAGGACAGACATGGACCCCTGGGACAGACAGGGACCCCGGGATGGACAGACAGGGACCCCGGGCCGNGGACAGACAGGGACCCCGGGATGGGCAGGAAGGACAGACATGGACCCCTGGGACAGACAGGGACCCCGGGATGGACAGACAGGGACCCCGGGCCGGGTCTGAGCCCCTTCCCCCTCGCAGCGCCCAAGGCGGACGGGAGCCTGTACTCGGCGCTGCCGGCCAGCAAGCAGGAGGAGGTGGAGAAGCTGCTGGGCAGCTCGGCCGAGGACACGTGGCGGCAGCTGGCCGGCGAGCTGGGCTACAAGGAGGAGCTGCTCGACGCCTTCGGCCGCGAGGAGAGCCCGGCCCGCGCCCTCCTGGCGCACTGGGCCAGCCGCGAGTCGGCCACGCTGGACGCGCTGCTGGCCGCCCTGCGCAGGGCCCAGCGCGGCGACATCGCCGACAGCCTGGCCAGCGAGTCCACGGCCACGTCCCCCGTGTGAAGGGCGGCCCGGGGCGGCTCCCCCCGGCCCCTCCGGGCTCCGCCGGTGGGGCTCCCGGGACCGCCCGCTCCCCGCGCCGAGCCCGCCCGGCAGCCCCTGACGGTGTCGGGGGGCTCGTCCCCGCCCCGATCCCAAATCCCGGCCGCGGCCGGAGCGTTCCCGGCCCCGGGAGGCTGCGGGACAGACGGACGGACGGACAGATGGACGCGGCAGCGACCGCCGTGCTCTCAGCGCTCTTCTCTCCCCCGTTCCAGCCCCTTCTCCCCGGGGCTCCTCTTCCTCCCGCCCCGCCCCGTGCCCCTCCAGCGCCCCCAAATCCGGCCGCTTTCCCCCAAAAGCGGGTGGAGGGCGGGGCTGGAGCGCCCCGGAGCCGCTGGCCCGGGATTTGGGGGCTCTGAGGGGCTGGGGAGGGAGCCCGGCCTCCTACACTGTGAAATTTGGGGTGCGGCCTCCCTGCGGCCCCGCAGGGATTGTGGGGGGGAGCAGCCGGGACACTGAGGAGCAGATTTTGGGGTGCCACGACCCCCCCGTGGGGGCTGCAGGGACACCGAGGGGACACCGAGGGACACGGAAGGTGGAGAGCGCTGACCAAGTGCCTGCCCCGCTGCGGGGCCACCCCCGGGCCCCGCTCCTCCCTCCCGCCCTGTCCCCGCTGTCCCCGAGCCGCGGGGACCGGCCCGAGGCCACCGTGCCACGCCTGCACTGTCCCCGCTGTCCCCACCCTGCTCCAAAGGGCTCCTGCTGCGCCAGCGCCGTGAGGGGCTCGGCAATGTCCCCGCGGGTCCCCGTCCCCCTTGGGTGACCCCGGCACCTCCTCCTGCCACCTCCCCGGGGAGGGGACATCGCTCAAGGGGCGTTTGGGGACGTTTCGGCCCCGGCTGGGTGAGCTGGGGAGTGTCCCCTGGCCCGGGGAGTGTCCCCTGGGATGTCATCGAGCTCCCGGGGATGTCCCCTGGGCTGTCATCAAGCTCCTGTGATGTCCCCAGGGCTGTCACCAGCCTGGGAAGTGTCCCCTGGGCTGCCACCAAATGCTTGGTGATGACCCTGGGCTGTCACCAAGTTCCTGTGATGTCTCCTGGGCTGTCACCAAGCTCCTGGGGATGTCCTCTGGGCTGTCACCAGCCTGGAGCGTGTCCCCTGGGCTGTCACCAAGCTCCTGTGATGTCCCCTGGGCTGTCACCGAGCTCCTGTGATGTCCACTGGGCTGTCACCGGGACCCCGCTGGTGTCCCCAGCCCTTGGCCCGAGGTGGCCGCGGCAGAGGCTCCGGATTGATCCCGAAATTCCTCCCCGAAGGCAGAACGGGAGACATTTGTGACCAGGAGCCGCGGTGGCTCCGTGTGACCCCCCTGGGGACAGCCCTGTCCCCTCGCCACCTCCAGCCGGGAATTCCCATCCCGGCCCTTCACTCCCGCCCCATTTCTGGCCCTAAAGACTCCAAAACTTCCCCAAAACAGCTGCGGCGGGGTCGGGATGGTCCCGGGAGAGCTCCGAGACTCCGGGGCTGGAGCTGCCTCCGAGGGGTTCCGGATCCCCCAAATCTTCTGGAAATTCCCCCCACGCTGCACTCTGCGAGATGGAGACGCTCGGGCTGGATTTGGGGGATTCCCGGGAGCTGGAAGTGCTGCAGATCCCAAATCCCAAACCCAGACCCCAAATCCCAGCCCCAAACTCCTCCCAGCACCCAAATCCAGGGAAATTTGCCCCAGATTTACAGCCCCACTCGCAGCAGGGGTTGGAAACTCCCAGCTCCTGCCATAACGAGCCACTTGATGGGATGGATTTGGGGTGATTTGGGATGGATTTTGGGTGATTTGGGGTGAATTTGGGGGGATTTGAGGTGGATTTGGGGTGGATTTGGGGTGGATTTGGGATTAATTGGTGGCAGATTTGGGGTGGATTTGGGATGAATTTGGAATGAATGTGGCATGACTTTGTGATGGATTTGGGATGAATTTGAGATGACTTTGGGATGGATTTGGGGTGGATTTGGGATGGATTTGAGATGACTTTTGGATGAATTTGGCATGACTTTGGGATAGATTTTAGATTAATTTGGCATGGATTTGGGATGGATTTTGGATTAATTTGGCATGAATGTGGCATAGGTTTGGGATGGATTTGGGATGAATTCCACCACTGGCCATCTTCAGGTAATTCCCATTGCTCTGGGATTTTTGGAAAAGCGACTCCAGGACAAGCTGAGGGTGCCTGGGTGGAGGTGCCCAGATCCAAACCCGATTTCCTGGCCCAGCCTCTCCCGCTGGGAATTCTTTTCCTCAGGACAGCTCTGCCTCACTCTCAGGTTTTCATTGCCATGGGAAGGGGATTTCAGCACCCGCAATCCCAAAAATCGGATTTTCAGAGCCGAGGGAATGGGGACAAACTCAGCATCCAAAGAGGAGCCGGGGGCTGCCTCAGACGTGGAAGTAAAATGGCAAAAAAACACACACACACACAAAAAAAACCCAAACAAACAAACAAACAAACAAAAAAACCAAAACAAAAAAACCAAAAAAATAAAACAAAAAAGCCAAAACCCCAAAGCCAGGAGGGAAACCCAAGCCAAAGTCAGAGCTCGTTTCGTGTTGTACCAACCCCGTGTGTTCCTCCACCCCCCACTCTGTAATTCCAGGGCCGATTTTGTAGGAATAGAAGGATTTTGGGGGGGTTGGGGGCAGCATGAGCCGGGGGGGATGCACGGGGGCGGCCCGGGGGGTGGAATTTGTCCGTGTGTATCCTCGCGATGCCAATAAAGAGCATCGTTGTCGTTGTCCCGCTGGCTTCTTCCCGCTCTCCCAAAAAAACCCCTGGGAATCCAAGGTGGGAAAAAGCCCTTAACACCTTCCTGACGGGATTTCCCCCCTTTCCCTTCCCATTCCCGTCCCCGTTTCCCGTTCTGATCCCAAAGAGCAGGAGAAGCAGGAAACAAGGAGAGCTTCGTGTGTGGGATCAGGGACAGCAGCCAGATTTATGGGGAGAGAGGGAAAAAAAAAGGGAAAATTCGGAATAAGGTCTGGAAGGGAGCCTGATGTTCGCATGGGCTGCGGGAAATCCCTGGAAAAGCTCCTTCCCCTTTTTTATGGGAGCCTGGGGAGGGCCAGAGCTGCTTAACCCCACATCTGCTGCCAGGGGGGCGACGGGGACAGATCCCTGCTGGATCCGCCGGGAAAAATCCCAAACCCCTCCCAGCCCCAGTTCCTGGGAAAACGCAGCAACCACTGGGAAAAAAAAAAAAAACGGGGAAATTTTCCAAATTTAACTCCACCGAGGAGCTTTTCACTCACCCCCCCAGGAGGAGCGGGACGGAGCTGGGAAAGGAAATCTGGGAAGGAAAATTCGGATTTCCCGGGGAGCAGCGGCTGCAGCTGAAATCCCAAATCTCCCCGGGATTTCCTCCCGTCCCCCCCGGCTGCCCCCAGGATCTGCCCCGAGACCCTTGCACGTTTTCCCGCAGGTTTCTCCCGGCTGTCCGCCCCGGATTTTGGGGATTTGGAGACGTTCCCGATCGCAGCGGGATCCCCGGGCGGGATCGGTTCCCCTCCCCCGATCCCCCCCGATCCCCCCGGGCCAAATCTGCCTCCCAGATGGAGCCGCATTCCCAAATAATGGGAAGCAGTTGGAGCAAAGGGCGCTGCTTCATCCCCCCGGGCCGAGCTGGAGCCAAAGGTTTTCCAAAATATCCCTTGGGAAGCGCATCCCGGGCACGCGGGACCCCCTTGAACCCTTCCAGGACCCTCGGGGGAGCCCCCCCGGCCCCCCCAGCCCGAGCGCTGCCCCCTCTGGAATGGGATTTGATTCCAATTTCCTCCTTCAATCCCCGCAGCGAGGGGGTCCCGCCCCGGCACCGCCTCCCGACCCCATTCCCGATCCCATTCCCGATCCCATTCCCGGTCCCGGGGGTCCCCTGGGGGAGGGGACCCTGCCCCGGCCCGGCGCGGGACCCCGGGAGCCCCCGGGATGGGGGAACCCACGGAGCCCCAACACCCACCCGGGAGGGGCAGGAGGGGTTTGGGATCTGGAGGGGTTTGGGATCCGGAGGAATTTGGGATCTGGAGGAATTTGGGATCTGGAGGGGTTTGGGATCTGGAGGGATTTGGGATTTGGAGGGATTTGGGATCTGGAGGGGTTTGGGATCCGGAGAGATTTGGGGTCTGGATGGATTTGGGATTTGGAGGGATTTGGGATCCGGAGGGGTTTGGGATCCGGAGGGATTTGGGATCTGGAGGAATTTGGGATCTGGAGGGGTTTGGGATCCGGAGAGATTTGGGGTCTGGATGGATTTGGGATCCGGAGGGATTTGGGATCCGGAGGGAATTTTCCTGCTTTGCTCCCCCAAGCCGCCCTTCGGGGTGTGGGGCTGCAGCTCCAGGGAATTCCTTTGGGATGCTCCGCCCCGGATTTCCAAAGCCCCGGGAAATCCCGGCTGCAGCCCCGGGAACCCCGGGGGAGCCCGCGGCCGGTAAATCCCGGTCAGCTCCTCCGCAGCCTCCTGGAAAAGGAGGATTTTCCCAGGAAAAATTCCCTCCTCCAGCTCCCCCCACACCTCCCACGCTCAGGGGGAGCTCTGGACGCACCTGGCGGGGCCGGGATGGAGGGAGGGATTTGGGAATTTCGGGGGGATGCGGGCTCGGGACTGGGATCCCGTATCCTTTGGGAAGGGGCCGGACCCCCAATTCCCTGGAATGGGATCCCTGGGATGGGATCCGCAGGGATCTGCAGCGCCCTGGCCGGGTTTGTGCGGGAATCGGGGCTCAGGACGGGATTTTGTGGGAATTCCCAGGCTGGAAGGAGCTGGGAGGGCTTTCCCTGCCCCGCCGGGATTTGTGCCGGAAGGAAGGAAAAATCCCGGAGCTTTTCGGCAGGAAAAACATCCCAGCTGGGGATGAGGGAAAAGCTGCTGGGTTTTAGCGCTCCATAAATCCCGCCCGGCCCGGGATCATCCCGGGAAATCATCGCCTCCTCCCAAACAAAGCCCAGCACCGGCACCGGGCGAAACCT